GGGAGGTGTTGCGGCTGCATCTGCTGGAGCTGCTGGCTCGGCATCAGGTGAGGCTGGGAAGCCAGCCGGGTGTTGGGCATGGCTTGGTAACTCATCATCTGCGACAAGCTCGTGGTGGGCAAGCCGTTGTGCAGGGTGGTCATCATGCCGTGTTGAAGGTTTTGCGTCTGCTGGTGCGCTGCTGGTTGCATGTTGCCTCTCATGGGGTTGTACTGGTTCTGGACCATGCCGTTCTGCAGCCTGCTGAGCCAGTCGCACTGCCCGTTCAGACCCGCCGCTCCGCCGACGGAGAAACTCATCGGGGCGCTGCTCATCGCTGTGCTGGGGCTGGAGACCGGGAGGTGGGAGAGACGCGGGGGCACCGAATCGAAGCCCATCCTGCTGGAGTTTCCCATGGCCATATCCTGCTTCCCTGCCATGTTGAGGTGATTGATGCTCATGTGGGCATCGGGCATGCCTGGCAGATGGTTCAGAGGCATGGAAGGGGACTGCTGAAACGGAGAGGTCATCAGCGGAGGAGAGGCAACATCCGACAGGTACCCATGCGGCGACTCCAGGGAGTCCACTGGAGACAACACACCGGAGTTGTCAAGGAGACATCCTTTTCCATCTTGTGATTTTTTTCTCCGGGCTTTGAGATCTTTGGCATCCTTGCCGTTGCAGCTCAGGCCCTTGGTGCTCGGTTTCCTGGCCTTCTTGCCCTGGACGGCGGGTTTCAGGTTGCCGATGTAGCTGTTGGGCGAGCAGAGCGGTGGGGACAGCGTGGGTGCCCCCAGCGGGCCGTTGTGCAGCGGTGGGCTCCGCACCAGGTTGTACTCATCCAGCAGCCTCACGATGTCGTGGTGCATCCGCTCCTGGGCGATGTCCCGTGGGAGCCGGTCCATGTGGTCCGTGATGTCGCGGTTGGCAAAATGGTCCAGCAGGACCTTGGCGGTTTCGTAGCTCCCTTCTCTGGCTGCGAGGAACAGTGGGGTCTCCTCCTGGAAACCCAGCAAAGATGGGTCAGGCTTAAGTTCACAGATTCTCCTGGCTAACACTATCCTGAGCTCCACACCCAACACCATGCAGCTGGGTGGCCGTGACATTAATCATCTCTCCTCCGTGAGGTTTTTCTCCTGCTTTTTCTTACCCTCCTGAGCCATGTCCCTACATTGACACCAAACCAGGGACCCCACAGGTGACCCAGAGCATGCAAGGAGATGGCCACGCGAACACTGCATCCTACTGCTCACCGAGCATGGCATGGCACCTCAACATCACCCCTAGGACCAAATCCCACAAATCTTGGAGCTAAACCCAACAGCTTCATTCACAGAACAATCAAAGCAGAGTCTCAGTGCCAGCCACTGTTGTATTTTAGACAAAAACTACCCGCTCACAGACTCCCCAGATGGTTCTTCCCTATGTCAGCCCAGAAGACCCCTACCTTATTGTTCTGCATATCCTTATTGGCACCGTTCTTCAGGAGAACCACTGCGGCTTCGACATTATTCACCGCAGCTGCCCAGTGCAGCGCCGACTTGCCTGCAGAGGAAGACCACGAAATACAACATGAGTTAGTGAGAGGCAAGAAAACAGCAAGTTGCCCTTTCCTTCCGCCCCCGAGGGAGCCCGTGTTCGTGTGCAGTACCCAGATCATCCACGGCGTTGACGTCCGCGTGGCAGTTGATGAGGTCGTCCAGCATGCCCTCCACGGCCAAGCGAGCGGCCAGGATCAGAGGAGTGGTCCCGTCATGCATCCGGGCGTCGAGATCCGTTGCCCTGTTCCTAATCAGGATCTGCCGTGACAAGGACCAAAGCGCAGGACACACAAACATCAGGAGGGACAGACAGCAGAGATACCCGAGTCCCAGGACCTGCCACCCCCCTGCCAGAGGCTGGGCCCAAAAGTCTGGGGGTGCAGCCATGGGGCTGTTTCTTTGCTCTCCCCCGCCCCAAGACAACAGGGGCTCCAGCTTTCACGACTTTCACCGCCCACCTCAGCAGGGCGAGCTGGAGACCCTGCGCTAAGCTCAGCCGTGTGACGGACTCAACACAGGGGACTCGTTCCCCAGCAAACGCCGAGGCTCGAAAGCATCAGTTACCTGGAAGACTCCCTGGGCATCGGCAGAGACGGCGGCGTGGAGGGGCGTCCTGCCCATGTTATCCTGGATGTTGGCGTCGGCGCTGGCTTCCAGCAGGCGCTTGGCAGCATCTGAGCGGGAGTAGCGGGCGGCCAGGTGCAGGGCCGTCTCGCCAGTGCGGTCGGTCTGGTTGTGTAAGCTGGCGCCTTGGTAAATGAAATCGGAGATGACGGCGGGAGCATCATCTTCCTCTTCGCTATTGCCGGTCTCCAGCCCTCCTCCGCTGCAGGAGGCGATCATAAGGGGGGTGAAGCCATCTGAAAGGCAGAGGGGAACTTGGTGAAAAAAGGCTTTTTACCCTGCTGTAAGGCAGGCGGCTCAGCACCATGCTCTGTCTGCAATAGATGCTTATTCTCCTGGGTGCATCGAGACTGAGTTCCTGGCTGGTTCTAAACATCAAACACGAATATCCTTCCTCTGATATGGATCTGAAATTCCTCAGTGGTATCTCACCGCTCATTGCTTTTCCTATTTCATCTGCTCGCTTGCACACTAATGCATAAGGCGCAGTTTATAAGGAAGGTTGCTCAGAGCAAACTTGAGCATAGTACAGCACAGCCTTAAATATTTTCCTTATTTCAGAGGACAGTTTCACAAGTGTGGGGAAGACGAAATGTCTGTAATAATTTAAAAGCCTATTAAGTATTAATATTGTTAAAAAAATGAAAAGAAAATTGTGAAAGGTGTAGTTTGGTGGGAGGAGAGGAATTGAGGAGCAGCAGAGAGACAAGCTGGATGATTTAATAGGTGCTTCTTCTGTATTCTCCAATTTCCATCTCAGTGATGAAACAAAAGAGATCTCATGTAAAGCAAAACGTGACAGGGTCTCTCTCTAAATCACGCACAACAGCAACGATGCAATGCAGAACGGCTAGCAGCGACTCTGCACTAGCAATGGGGACAGGCAGGGCTGAGTGGCACTGCTCGCCTGCTAGGGGACACGAGGATTTCAGATTAGCTGACAAGTGGCACAGAAGTGAAAGCAGTCCACCTTACCAGGACCTCTGACGTTGACGTCCATGCAGTCTGCATCGATTTCCCCCTGCGGAGGGGTCGGCGCCATGGAGGATATGCGCAGGTCAGCGGCATCCAGGTGCTGCTGGGTCCACTGCCTGTGATCCGTCTGATCGTCCGTGTCCGGCAGCATCGCCTGCTCCTCGAACTGCGGGACCACAGCGGGACATGAGCACCCAGCAAAGCTCAGGGTGAGAGGAGGGGGCTGAGCTCTGGCACGGGAGGCTCTGCAAGTCTCCCAGGGGTGTTTGTCACACGTAGGTTTGCAAAGGAGCAGGCAGCATGGACCAGCCCCCTGAGGGTCCCTCTGCTCTGCTCCTTCCGTGACAAAACCCAGCGAGTGACAGAAAGGGAACATGGCAGTTAGCTTACCCGGAACTTCTTGGTGTCCAAGGTCTCCTCGTCACCCCACTCATTTTGGTTGTCATCCATCAGCGTGCCGTCTGAAGCATTTTTGAGGGGTCTTTGAAAATAAAACCATACAGAAAATAAGCTCCTCTGCAGGACATGCACAGAATGAAAGAAGAACCAACAAGGCAATTTCCAGGAGGTTCCCCCCAGGTCACCTTTTATTTTATACCAAGGGCAAACGGACCATGAAGCATTTAAAAACCTCCTCCAGATGGGAACACTGTTTTCCCCATGCAGAACTTTAAGAAACCTGATTTTTCTCCTCCTCACTACACCAATACGACGCACTAGAGAACAAAACTCCG